TTTGGAAGTAGTCGCCGTGCGTTTGGAAGTAGTCGCCGGGCGTTTGGAAGTAGTCGCCGTGCGTTTGGAAGTAGTCGCCGTGCATTTGGAAGCAGTTGCTGTGCGTTTTAAAATAGTTGCCGTGCGTTTTGAAGTAGTCTCTCCGGCGTTTGGAAGTAGTCGCCATGCGTTTGGAAGTAGTTCCTGTGCGTTTTAAAATAGTTGCCATGCATTCTGAAGTAGTCTCTCCGGCGTTTGGAAGTAGTCGCTGTGCGTTCTGAAGGGACACCAACTGGACGGCCAGGTCTTACTGAGGAGGAGTTTAATCCTGCTCCTCTTCAGATCGGAGGAATATTTATCAATATCAATAAATTATGATTCATTGGCTGTATCTCGGCTCTGACCCGGTTTGTCCTACTGAAGAACTTCTAGAACATGATGCTTGCAGCTCTAGATGGAACATCATCCTATGAGGAGGAACCAGTTGGTCTCTCTGGTGAAATGAAAGATGTTTTTAGTTCTGAGGGAGAACGTGTTCAGATCGGATCAGTTGTGTCTGTTCTCTTCCAGCTTATCTTCCGTCTCCTGAGACGCTGCAGGAGGTCAGCCTTCCCATCGTCTCCAACATCAAGTGTGACGCAGCCTATGGATCCATCACCACCAACATGATCTGTGCCGGTCCTAATTTCAGAGGGAAGGGGTTCTGTGAGGTGAGTTGGGTTCTGCTCCTTCTCATTCTGGGCTTCATGCAGGTCTGCTGGTGCTGACCCACCTCTCTGATTGAGCAGAAGGACGCCGGCAGCCCTCTGGTGACCCTGAACGGCAGCAGGTGGGTCCAGGCCGGAGTGGTGAGCTTTGCCCGGGGATGCGGGTATCCAAAGTTCCCAGGAGTCTACACCCGAGTGTCCCAGTACCAGACCTGGATCAACAGCCAGATCCTGAAAGACCCGCCTGGATACATCACCTTCTACAGAGCGTCCACCAGAAGCGTCCACTCCGTGTCCTCAGCCCTGCTGCTGGTCGTCCAGCCCATCCTCACCTTTATAGTCCTCACAGCGGACTGATGGTCCGTCTGTGCGCTGCTCCATTTTACTTCTGATCCAATAGCTTCTGCTAGAAAATAATCACCTGCTGGAAATGATCCCTTTTTTATCTCCATGGAAACCATCCTGTTTGATTAAAACACTAAAACAGTTTTTGTTGTGATTTTATTTTGATCTGCAAAGAGGAAAGACTGATTTATAGGATTTACCGGTTAGAAGATTCCCAGCTGTTTACCGAAGCCCGTTAACGACCCAAAGCTTAATTAGAGGATGGATTCAATGATTGAAGTTTTGATTTCAGAAAATGCTGATTTTATTCATTTCTCTTTTTCATCACACTCATGAGAAGGACCCAAAGAGGTTCTGGACTCTCCTTCAGGGGATGGCCGTCCCAGTAGAACCTCAGACAGGTCCAGAACCTTCTGAAGTGTTATATTTATGTCTTTAGATTGATTTATGATTGATTTATGGTTTTTAGAACCTGAATTAATTCTATCACAGTTTTATTCCCCCAAAGCAAAACACATCTGGGACCTTTAACCAAAGAGGTCCCATAATCCAGGCCTTGGAGATGCTGTGGAGGTCCATCTTTCAGCAATCCTGGAGAACCTCTGACTAATGCTACTGACTTCTGCACGAGTCAAAGGGTGAATTTAGTTTCTCCCAAAAATCCAAACCCTTCTTCTCCAAACAGAAGCGGCTGTTCCGACACATTAGAACCTCAGTCTTTCACGGATCTGACGCGTTGAGACATTGGTCCAGAGTAGAGTCCATCCCAAACCCAATCGCCATCTCCCTGCAGACAGAACCGATTCTTCTGGATTCTGAGGTCAACCCAGGAAGGTTGAGATGAAGACACTGGTTTCCAGGTTGAGAGTGGCGTGCCACCAGTGGTCCGGAAAATACAGAACCTGGAGGGAAAACAGGTCAAAGGTCAGGATTTTAACAGTTCAATGGTTCATTCCAACCTGAGCCTGGCTCACCTCTCCGGGCCTGATGGTACACTCCAGGGGAGCCTCCTCTTCCGGCAGGTAGGGATAGGTCTCCTTCAGCCAGGACAGGGTGGTACGGTTCGGATGGAAGTGAGGCTCCTTATCTGGTGGGTAGAGGAACCAGCGCTGCGTGGCAGAAAGAGTTCAAGGTTCTGATCCACTTAAAAGAAATTTGATTTAAATAATGAAGATAAAACATCAGAGTTTTATGATTCTGTTGGTTCATAGGTCACTCTGGGCCCTTTGTGTGGTTCAGGAACCAAACATCTTCTCATTGATCTAGATCTCCATAGAACAGATCCTGAAATCAGGCCTACTTTACCAGAACCCGACCCAGATTTCACAGACTGGCTCTTTGGGTAAAGAACTGGGTCAGAACCATGTTCCTTATTATCTACGGGCCTCTAAAGTCCAAAAAAACTTTTATCTGCATTAATCGATTGTTTGATTATTGGTGGAGAACATTCACGTTGGCAATCCTGAAGAGAGAGGTCCAACAGAACCACATGATACTCTTAGAACCTTTCAACCCAACAAGTTGAACAGACACACTTTTTGGACCTGATCCTCACTGACGGTCAGAGCATTCCTTAGGTGATGCTGACCATGTAGAGTCTCTGGGTCTAAAGATTTCAATTCAATTCTATTCAGTTTATTTCGATAGCTCCAATTCACATCATGTCACCTCAAGGCACTTCCCAGTTCACCAGATCATCCAGTCAGATTGATTCAAAGTTTTCTATCTAAGGAAAACCAGCTGATTGCATCGACTCATTGACTCTTCAGCAATCCCTCACACTAAGCATGCTTGTAGCGACAGTGGAGAGGAAAAACTACCTTTGAACAGGAAGGAACCTCCAGCAGAACCAGGCTCAGTGTGAGCGGCCATCTGCTGAGGCCCACTGGGGTTCAAGGAGACAGAAGCAGAGACACAAAAAGCAGCTGTAAAAGGTGGAGATCAAAAGAGAGATCAGGTCCAGAGTCTCTGGGTCTGATCTTCAGAAGGAGCAGGAAATGCAGATGGAATGTTCACCACAGTCAGAGGTTTTCCACAAAAAACAAAACTACAGCCACAGTTCCAGCCACAAAACTTCATTTTGTTAGTCTAGAAACCTAGATCTAGAAAAAAGATTATTTTGTTAGTATAGAAATCACTGAATGGCTCCCCTCCAAAATACGTTACAGACTGGTTGGCAGGGGATCGACAGCCAGACCTCTCAGGTCTACTGGATCAGATCTAGAATCAGGACTGAAGAAGCAGCTTCTAGTTCCTCTGCTCCTCTGGACCTAATGCAGATTAAAACTATTTCTTTAGAGAGACCTGAGCATTAGTTTAGTTTTCTGTTCCTCAATCTTAAATCATTAATTCATTCATTAATCATGAATGAGATAACTAAATATATCAACAATGGTCAGAAAATTATTGGAGACAAAAAATATTCAAAACTAAAGGTTAACTTTAAAAACAATCATTGTATTAAAATACTGTATTAATATTTTACTTGAACTAGAGCTACAAAAATAATTTTTAATGCAGTCAATTATAATCTATTTTAATCCAAAGACCCTCAGTGACTGAAGTCAATCCAGGAAGGACTGCAAAAAGCACAATATGGCGTCCCTGGGTGGGCACTCAGTCCTCCACTCCCACTGCAGGCTAGGTTTGCTGCTGAACACCTGATCTGCTCAGTCTGAAGGATTTAATGGATTGTTAGAAAAAATTTGGTGAAAACTTATTTTAAACTCTCTCAGGTCACACATGAATACGCTAGGTTGTTTGGTCCAAAGGTCCGGTTCTAAAGAAGTGAAAACGGTCTCTGTGTTCCCTCCTGCTCTGTGTCTATGTGACCAAGAACTCAATGATTCCTCAAACTCAATCGGAACCAAGTCAGAGAACCAGGGTCCATTTGGACCTTACCTTCCTTCCATAGATGACCTCAGAGTATCCGGGACCATGCCAGTGAAATGGGACTCCTGTTCCTGGACCTGAGGAGAAGGAAGGAACATGGACATGAAGCATTCCTGATCCAGAACCTGGGTACCAGCAATCAAACTGATGAGAACTATTAGAAAACCAAACAGAACCGTCCAGAACACAGCATCAGAACAAGTGAATAAATGAAATTGGAATTTAATTAAATGAAAAGGGATGTAAACAAACTTTCGATTTACGACCGTCGATTAAAGTTTTATTAGATTTAATATATTCTGATGAACTGATAAAGTCTGCTTAGTGATGGTCAAGTGGTTAGAGCAGTGCTCTTTGCTCTGGGAAGGTTGCAAGTCCCGTTTCGATCCCCACAGCCTTCACTCTAGGTTCCTGAGCAAGACCCTTAAAACCACACTGCTCCCCGGGAGCTGCACAATGGCAGTCCACTGCTCCCCAGGGGGATGGGTTAAATACAGGGAGGGAATTTTCCCATTGTATTTCCTTGACCTGCGATCCCGAAGCTGTAGGCGCCGGTCGTACCCGGTAGAAGGTATGGTGGAGGGTGGTACTGATCGAAGAGGTCCTGCCACTCGGTAAAGTTGTTGTCTCCAAAGAAATACAGCGTCTCTGCAGATGAGAACATCAGAGGGATTTTCTAAAGGTTATCTACTACAAGACACGAGGGAGGAACTGTGTTGGGCTGAGGGAAGCGGGTAGGGCTGAGGGAAGCGGGTAGACTGAGGGAAGCGGGTAGGGTTGAGGGAAGCGGGTTAGGCTGAGGGAACCAGGTAGGGCTGAGGGAACCGGGTAAGGCTGAGTGAACCGGGTAGGGCTGATCTCACCGCTGCCCAGCGTTTCTTCAGACTGAGGCCTCAACAACTCCTCCACATACTCCTGGAAGGAAACATCCACTGAAAGAGAAAACAGAGTTAGACAACAAGACCTCTTAGAACCGAGCTGTTCTAAGAAGGTTCTGACCTTTCCGGTATGAGTGGGTGTTGGCTGTGCTCAGCCGGACCTTCAGGGAACCGTAGTTTTCCAGCAGACTGGACCTGGAGCACAGCAGCTGGAACTTCTGAGGAACAAAGAGAGCAGTCAGATGGGAGACCAGGCACCGGAGCAGAACTGCCTGGTTCAACTGGGTCAGAATCGATCTGCAGGCCGAGTTTGGAGATGTCCAGAAAAACCAGTGATTGGTCAGCCTGATGTTAGGTTCTGACACCATGATGGACCTGCAGGCGGTGCTGTTGCTCCATAGGATGGAGGTCACCTGCTCCTATGTTCAGACCTTCTGCTGCCTGGAGAATGAAAGCGTGCAGAGAAACTGTTGAGGCTGGCAGTAGATCTTCTTCCAGGGTCAGGCAATCAATAGGAACCAGAATGGAAGCAAGGGATGGGAACTGGAACCATTTCCAAGTCCTGCTGGGTGGTTCCTCCATGGCGGTCCTACTGGGTGGTTCCTCCATGGCGGTCCCTGCAGGGTGGTTCCTCCATGGCAGTCCCTGCTGGGTGGTTCCTCCATGGTGGTCATGCTGGTTGGTTCCTCCATGGCGGTCCTGCTGGGTGGTTCCTCCATGGCGGCCCTGCTGGGTGGTTCCTCCATGGCGGCCCTGCAGGGTGGTTCCTCCATAGTGGTCCTGCTGGGTGGTTGTAGAGCTCCACAGAGAGCTGCTTGGAACTCTGCTTTGCCTCCTGAGCTGCAGGCTTCATCCTGGGCCAGCAGGGTCCAAACTTGTCGACTCATGGTTCTGATCAGAGAACTCCTGGTTGTCAGCATCACTCTGAACTCTCTGAACAGGCGGTCCAAACCTGATGAAGACCTGTCACTATCAGAAGCACCCTCCTCCTCTTCCTCTCCACTTACCGTGTTGTCTGTGAGGCCTCTGAGGATGACTGGTCTGCTGTAGGCGTATCTGCAAACAGAACACAGGGCTGGTTTAGGTCCTGCAGGTTCTACTGAGGACCGGTTAGACCCATCCAACAGCAGAACAGCAGAACCTGGTTCTGAAGCATTACGTCTATTGATTCATGGTCTATATGCCACCTCCAACACTTCCTGAACTTCAGCCAGATGCTTTGTTTCCTGCATTTAATGGACAAACTGATTATCCAGGCGTGTCTGGTTTACGTTGTCATGATTACTGAGGTCAGACACACCTGGATCAGTCAGTCAGTCAGTCAGTCAGTCAGTCATGTTCTGATAAATGAACAGTAGAATAAATATCAGGTTTTAATCAGTTTTATTCAGTTCTGTGTGCCTGCAGCTCACTGACCTCTCAAGGAACTGCTGTTGAGAAAGTTCTGACCCGTCCAGAACGTCGATGGAACAGCGTCCGTCCGCTCCAAGGCTGCGGTCCGCAGGAAGCGCCCTGCCAAGACACCAGGAGGTTCATCCATGAGGCTGAAGTTGGCTTCTGATTTAGGATATCAATAAAGGCTGATTCCACTTAATTTATTCATAACATTCAGCATCTTTAATCTATTCAAATAAAAAACTACGATACATCAAACCTTGATGAGATTATTCTAAACTAGTTTATGTAAATCCTCAATAATATGCAGCTGTGGTTCTGAATTCATCTGTAGAATATGCTGATAAAGATTCTCAGTCATCCAGGTCATAGTCATTCCAAAATATAATAATTATGTCTGCAGTTTAATGCAGTGAGGAATGCTCTGATCTTTATATCAGAGAAACCAAACAACCTGGGAATGTCTTTAATGGGGCCCCACATCCCTGCAGCAGACCATAAGTATTTAAATTACTTTCCATTACACCTTTGGAAAGCTTGGAGAGGAAACATAGAACTCTGCTCTCCAGAGCAAGTAGATTGGTAACCCCGC